AAAAATTTTCACTTTTTAAGGATTGAAGAGCAGTTATTTTGCATACTAAGGTCCTAAGATTGCTGTCTAATCTAGAGCTGTATTAGGAAGGTAAGTATATAACTAGCGAAAGGTTTGCATCTGCAAGGCGCTGATTAAGGTTTATATAGCTGGGCTGAGCTACTTTGTCGGAAATTGAATTTTGGCAAATTTGCTATTATTGAAATTCTCGCATACTATCTATCATTTAGACAATTTTTTCCCCTTTGATGGATCCGCATGTGACCACATTTGGTAATCGTCTTCCCGCTCATACCATTCGTTTCAGTCCTTATGGAGCAGATGAAACATGGTTGAATATGGAGTAAATTTAAGACTCAGAAAAATCCTCCCCAAATTTATATTATTCTTTTGTTTTCAGTTTCAAGGGTCCAACGTTGTGGGAATCACCACCTTGTCATGGTGTCTGCCTTAAATGGAGTGATTTCGATATGTTGTATGAACACACTTGGAACTCCTGCCAAGGTGGCTAATCAATTTTTCAAAACTTTGCAAATGATTTGTGTATTTTAGCGCTTATAAAAGATACGGAACTAATGAGGACTTTGAACGCGTCCAAGTTCGAGCTTGCCTATGCTGAGACATTTGATATTTGTGCTCCAGGGATTCTCGAGGTGATTTTCTACTTCTTCGAACTTACCCACGACAATAAGAGAAATTTCAGAAGAGTATAATACTTCTTCAGAGTAATTGTTTGAAAAATCTTGCAATCTCCCCAGTTGTTCGTAGTTTCACTTTGTCGAATATTGTAGAACGGGTCGCTGAGATTTTGAAAGGGTTACTGTATCTATTAACACCTTATGAGATCTGTGAAGATGCGGCACAGTAGATCAGCAATATCTGGCTATGAGTCATAGGCAGCTGCAGACAACTTTGTTCTATAAATTTCCGTAAAATATCAATCCACGGAACGGTTGCTACATTTTGTCACAAGCGATCCTTACAGCCTAATTCTGTTGTAACTTTAGCTGCCTTGAATGCTTCCTGTGGAATGTTGAAAGGCGATCCAGAACGCAAAAGTTGTGTGACTTCAAGCAGAGAAGAGTTTAAAAAAAGCAGTTTTGAGAGTCACAATTTGTGCATCAAAAAGACGTCTTTTTACAACTTGCAGTTATAAGAATTGGAGAAAGACGATTGAACCATTGTTCCATTCCGATCGTAAATGCTAACCTATCAATATATCTGCTTGCTCGTCCGAAAAAAAAAGGATTTTCTATGATGGCTATCACTAAAGCGGTATGCTGTATGCCCTATCAAAGGATTGAGGTTTTACCTAGGCCAAAAAGAGAACAAATCAGTAATTACAGCGATAAATAGAACTTGGGAAAAAAAATTTATTCGGAAAAATAAAACCTTTCAGAGAATTTTAAACTTACAGATACTTGGAATCAAGAATCTGGTCATGGTTTCAGCATTA